AAAAAAAGAAGACTCAGTTGAGAGAAGCAGGAATGTGACTGAAAATGACTAATTCAAATCCCTCTTACAAAAATAAACGTGACCACCAATGCTTCAATGCTTTGCGTTAACATTTTTAGAATAATACAATAAAGTAATTCAGGACAATGACATCATTTTGAATAGATTTAAATGTTCACTTAACCACTTGCACAATAATATAAGATATCAAGGGGAAATCTCAATTCTGAATTCATCTGAACAACTTTAACCCTCATTTCCTGTTCCAACAGCACATTTTATTTACAGAATGAACTGCAGATTAACCAGCAACAATCACCTGTCACGAGAATTCAGGGGACTGCACAATAATCCCTGACATGACAAACACATCATTTTAAATACATACACACCCAGTTACCATAAATCCACACCCTCACATGCTGTGCAGCATACAATCATCTATAATTGGGATGTTGTGCGATGGGGTGACTGCTGCTTGTCAACAGAGATTAGCTGCAGACATGTGTGTATGTGGGTTTGTAACCATTGTTGCACCTGAGCACACTGAGTGAAAGCACCTGGATTAAATATGAAACTGTAAGAACACACCACGTGTATACACTCACACAAATCGAAGTCTGTCTATACATAAAAAAATGATACGAAACACAGATGCCCACACGTACACATTCTGTTCTCTTCTGGCTCCAGGTGTCAGATTACAAAAAAAACCTGGCTATATATATATATATATATATATTTAACACACAGACACTATTTCATTTTGTTATCTCTCCACTGTTTTGCTTGCAAATTGTCCCTTCATGTAAGGCCAAAGTATAAATAGTCACATACGTCAATCATCACAGAGAGTGTATGGTAAATATTTATTGTTTGTTTCAGGTTATTGGACAAAGGCTAGCAAGCTGACAATCAAACACTGTCAATGCAAGTCCACCAAAGCAACCAAGCTCAGTCAGGGAGAGCCTTGAAGTCCTGATGAAGCCAACCATCTCTATAAAAGCCGATGAGGAAAAGGGCAGCTGCTGTTCTTATATGTTCAACTTTGTGTTAGACAAATTAGCAAAGATGAGTGGTAAAAGGACAGGGCGTACATTGAAGTCTTTGCACATCAAGAAAAATATTTCATCCTTATGTGCCTGCACCTTTTGATTCCAGCCTGTTACCTGACTCTGCCTTATTACCTTACCCTTGTTGAATTGTTTGATTTATCCTAATTGCTCACCTGTGAACCAAACCTCCTTTTGGCAAGTAAAGACTTTTAAACCTAGAATGAGTATCAGAGTCTTGCATTTGAGTCCCATTCTTTGCTGTCACCAGTCGTAAGAGCTTTAAAATCATTTTGTTGCTTCACTGACTTGTATGGTGCCTCTGTCATTCCCACCCTGCCTCACCTCTATGTGATATTCAGTGTTTCCTGATGGACAGAAAGCTTTACTAGTTGCTAAAGTAATTTACTGAACTAGTTAGCTCAGTCCATGCTGCACAGATTAGGAGCACAAAGCACTGGAGGAGTGTTAGTGTATTTGCACTGCTGGCAAAAGAGCTCTGGACTATGTAACCGGGCTCAGCAGCCTCTGCAGACAGGACAGAAGCGAAGAGACCTAAGAGGACAATGACAGAGGAAGCTAAGAAGATAAAAATAGAGAGTGATTGAGCAAGAAGCCGCTGGACAAGAGTTAATCTCAGACGAGTTTTTAGTCATTGGCGAAAGCTTTGTGTAACAAATATCAAATCTTACATAATGTTGCCAGTATGAACTGTTTTCTTTTACACATTGTTTTAAGACAGACTTGAACAATTGGGAACCTATCCTTTAAGCATTTATATAATGTTAATAGCTCTGTATGTAATTTGTTGATCAGCTATTAATTGTCTGAAACTATGACTGCTGTTCCTCTTTGCAACCATTTTTTGGCACGTGTCGTAATTGTCTAGCCTGTGCCCCTTCCATTGTTAATTAGTTTTGTAGTTTTTTTAATGGCTGAAGTTATGTATTTTATTTGTTTGGCCTTTGGACAGTCTGTTAAAACTAACGTCTATAGTTATACTCCTTTTAAAGCTGTAAAATTGCCATATGACTCACCCGAGCAGCTGCATTTGTAACAATGATTTAGTGCTCATAATGAAAGAAAAGTCCGTCTTTGAGAGGTGTTTATATTATTTTGTCAACCCGTGTATCTATTTCTTTGACCTCCCATATTTACGGTTCTTTGCATGCCATCTGTCGTGCACAGATACACAAACACACACACACCTTTGGTCACAATCACGTTCAGTACGAAACAATAGCAGAGCCTGTGGGTAAGTGTACATGAGTCAACAGCCTTGCCTGCCCATGGCATTCACAGTGACTCACATTTCCAGGAAGAGAAAGAGACACACACAGAAAGAGAGGGGTAGGTCTGAAGTCAAGACCATCTGATTTATAATACTCATATTTCAAGCAGACCAATGAAAGCCTCTGGATATCGTTTCAAACTATTACTTGTGCTTTATTTTTTCAGGACAGGTGCAGATAAATTCTGAGAGTATCAATGAAATGAAAAACAAACTCAAAAACTCTTACACAACATTTCTGTGATTCAGCTGCATAATGATGTACGCAGATCAGTTTTCTCTGACATTTTTGACTTCCAACCATTTTCTCTTGCAATTTATGCCTCTCTTATTTCCCTCTTGTCTGTGTCTTATACTTTCTCTGGTGTTTGTCCCTCCACCCATCACATTTCATCTTTCTTTGTTCTTCATCATAGAATATTGACAGTCACAGCTACCAAACCTCTTCTCCGCTCTCTCTCTCCTTCCCTCCCTCTGTCTGTCTGTCTCTCTCACTTCCTCTGGCCTTCACAGGAGGCTCTCAGGGCGCAGTATGTGGCTGCCCTCACTGCACAGTTGTCCAGCATAAACCGATCGTTTCACCTAACTGAATAATACCAGCATTCACTGCAGACCCACTCCCATCCCGCTTGCTGTCCCTGTCTCAGTGCTCCCTCCAGCCCTTTGTCATTTTCATCCCTCCCATCTCTTCTTCCCTTTCTCTCTGCCTCCGCTAACATCTCCCATGATCTTTATATCTCCTGTACCTTCTCCTCCTCATTTTTTTTCACTTCTCATTTTCCCCCTATTCCACTCCGTGTCCTCTTTTCTCTGTTTACTCTTTTTACTCTTTCTCGTCTTTTTCCCCGATTGTCTTAATGTCTTCTCTAACTGTATTTTTCTTCCAATCTCTCTTCTGCTTGTTGTTTCATCTCATTTTCTACACACACACACACACACACATACTTTTTCCTCTATTTGTGCCACCCTGTTACTTTCAGGTCATTGTAGGCTTCTGCTACAAAAGAACTATAAATGCCCTCTCTGCCCCCCTATGGTGAACCACAATACCAGATCTCACATGGTTCAAAACCTGGCGTCCATTTGTGTGTGTGTGTGTGTGTGTGTGTGTGTGTGTGTGTGTGTGTGCTCTTATGTGTGAATGTGTGTGTCTGGGCGTGTAGGAAAGAAAGCATACATGTATGTAAGTGTCAAGGGAATGACTGAACTGCAAATCATTCAAAACACAACATCAATACAAGGGAAGTGTGTGTGTGTGTGGGGGGGGGGGGCAGTTCTGAATGCTCAGGGTTATTTAAGCGACCCTTTGATTAAAGGGTCACTGAAAGGGGTCAGAGTTCACTTAAAACAACTGCCTTTTTGCTGGCTCTCATTGTGTAGCTCCAGGGCATTTCATTATTGTAAAGCCATAAGAGTGAGCTCAGCGTTAGCAGGAATTCTACCATTACCAGCATGGACAAAAAAATTCATTTTGGGATGGCAGATTGGAGATCTAATTCCTCTTCAACAGGGAGCAATATAGGGGCAGTGTGTGTCTGTTAGTGCAATCCAATTATATTGCGCTGTGGACTTTAAAATGGCAGTTTTATGCGGAGTCACTTACAATGGGTGCAGCAGGAGAGTGAGCTTACATTTCTAGAAAAATTAGAGAGTGCAAGAGTCCGACTCAATTTGCCCAGACAATAAATATGCAATAACAAATGTCACTTTACCCTTAAGTGATTGCGCTTGGATGAAAGAAATCTGTTAGAGCATTATCCAGTACTTGGATCTACAGCATCTAGTTATTTCAGTCTACATTTGGTGCAAGACACACTAATGAGGTTTATATGGCAGCAAATTTTCTCCATCAACAAGAAGACGAGGAGAGGAAAGAGGGGGCGGTTACTCCAGTGAGATCATGGTCTGTCTGATCAGATGTTTGCACCACTCTCTTAACTGAGCTCATTTTCTTTTAAAGTTTAAGCAAATAGAATAAATAAAATGTCAAAATGTACAGCAGTGGGCTCTCTCACGTTACAGTTTGTGAGCGCCGATTCTAGGCTGCATCAGGTAGTTCTTCTTAATTTGTCCAAAGACATAACACAGGAGGCCTTCAACAACTTTGTGTGCATCTGTGCATGTGCCAGTTCAGCACCATGGACAGCGTCGGAAATTTGAAAGCAAAATGTTGCTGTCCTTACTGGTTGTTTGCAAACTCAACCAGAATACGAAATATAATAATTAGAGAAAAAAAAAATCAATTGAATGAATCATGATACTGATTACATCGAGTCCATTCAATATTGATGTTTGCAAACTGTGCCTGAAAAACCCAAAACGCAGCAAAAACGCTATAGTCTGACTCCAGTCACAGAGTGAAAATGTTTGCTCAAATTATTGTTTTAGTTCTAAAAATAAATAACTGCGCATTTAAGCATCCAACATTTTGTGGTTATTTTTATAGCAACTTGTTTTCCATTTCATCAGATCACTTGTCGGATCAGTTGGGCTACTGGTCTAATAAACAAGCAACACCTTTGCCTCATCTGTGCGCTTTTTTTCAGCTTTTTCTAAAAATAAAAAATAAAAAAAACTATGTAACATCAGGGCCCATGAGCACCCCGGTAAATACAGCAACATGCGATAGACTTGAAGTGAAAATAGGCCAAACTTACCTTGACTGACATTAAAAAAGGTGTGTCCAGGATTTACTGAACCAAACCGCCGAGGTTTCGCCTTCTCTGAGACACCTGGCCGGTGAACACCATGGAGAGTCAGTATCCACTGGCCATTTATGGAATCGGTGCATATGGAGGCATTTCGGCGAGGAAAGGCGAGACCGTCCTTACGATGCTGCGGTGCAAAGCCCGGTTCCCCGATGGAAAATTGGGTTGTGCGTTGCAGCCTTGGCGACTCTGCGTGGTGCGCACTGGTCTCCACTGGACTCACATCTCCAGAAAGCCAAGAAGGAAATCAAACGGCAATTCTCAGAGTGTTTTTTGTGTTTTTTACCCACCAAGTTTTATTTAGGGGCTCCTAAACGACCATTTCAAGCCAGTGAATGTCAAACATAATCGATATTTTGAGTTCCACTTTAAGCTGGATCCGCTGAGGAATTTGGGAACACTTTTTTTTTTAACCACGGTCACGTTGACTGAGCACACTGCAAAAAATCCTACGAAGCAGGAGAAAAATATTTGTCCGACCTAGCATGTTTTATCACCGAACCTATCTTCTTCATTTCCCACTCCCCGCAAAAAAAATTGGCACGAAGAGGAACATTTCACATTTTCTCAGACCATTCCGAAACCAATTTCACAGCTCAACTTGTTATTCCCCGACGTTGTATCCAAAAGGCGTGCCTTGTTTCAAACCCAACTGCAACAGTTAATCACCTGCAGGCTGAAATACTAAATTTTCTGCGAGAGCGCAGGCTTCACTTCATCATGCGCCGAGTCCTCCTCTCGGTGGAATACGCGATGGAGGGGCGCCTCTGTCATCCAAAATATCCCATGGAGGTTCGCTTCAGACCAATGTATGGGTTAAAAAAAATGTCTAAAGACTGCCTCCACTTAGAATGATCAGATCAGATGCCGAGAAAAAAAGATCCATTTTAATTGTTCCCACGCTCCATGGGTTTATTAATTTGGCTCCGGTGTGTCAAAACCTTGCCTATGGTTGAATTCTCAGTGAAGAGTTGTGAGTGTAAGAGAGAGAGAGAGACAGAGACAGAGAGAGAGAGAGAGAGAGAGAGAGAGAGAGAGAGAGAGAGGGGAGAGCGAAAGAGAGTCACATTTAGGGAAATGGGCAACAATAGGATGTTGAATGATGAAAAGTAGCACAATACTGATTGAGGTTCATGCTCCTGATTATAGAGGCAACATTCACATTTATTTAGTCCCCATCTCCAAAAGTGCTCCTGTTACAGCAGTAAATCACTCCCTATATTTAATTGAATCTAATTGAATTAAATTGAAATGAGTGTTACACTATTTGGACAGAGAGAGGAAGAGGAGCTGGACTCTGCTTCGGTCCCTGTGAGTGCTTGTGCGCGTGTGTGTGTCTGTGTGTGTTTGTGGCGTGTGGGTATGGCAATCTGTGGGAAAATGGTGTATGGCGGGTTAAATAATTGATGAGGCATGCCCATGTCCTTATAACCAGTTCGCATTGTGATTTGAGACACAGGAGTAACGTAGCATAAGTACGCGCGCACACAAACAGCCCAGACACGCACACAGCGGTGGATAATCTGGTTGAGCGTTTCATGTCTTCATGAGATCGGACAAGCGAACGCACCATCGCAGCGTGAACGCGAAAGACTCACGCATGAGCAACTTCGATTCAAACACCACCGGGCGGCGGAGGGGCGGAAGGGTTGGTAGGCTGGGAATGAGGGGGGGGGATGCACTGCGGATCGTGTTGGCAAGTGGGTGGCAATACCTTGGCACATGATAAGATGACATATTGTATATTGTATTAGCAGCAGAAAGTCGGGTCAACTCTCGAGACAGAGAGAGAAAGAGAGAGAGAGAAAGATGGGGAGTCGCCTCAAGAGGCGCTTAATGTAGATGGAAAATCAGCTGGGAAGGAAAATCTTATTTGGAGGTCGGAAGCAAGACTACACACTCTCTCTCTCTCTGTCTCTCTCTGTCTCTCTCTCTCTCTTTCTCTCTCTCTTTCTCTCTCTCTGTGCAGAAAACTCTTATTCCTGAGTGCCCTATTCTCTACTCTTTCAGCACCATGGACAGCTACCAGGCGAGCGGGCTCCTTTTGGCGCTGTCCAACGTGCTGAAAAGTTCTCAGACTCAAAGACTCGCATTAATGTAGGCCATTGCTCTCTTGTTCCCTCCATTTATCTGCCATAACCTCCTCCAAAGAGGGGTCAGAGCACATGGTCAACTCTCTCACAAACTCTTGAGATGTTTCCTTGCATGGGTTTTAATGCTGTTTTACCATCTTTAACCACCAGGCCTCATCATATTATATACATATCATATCTCTTTGCACCTTACCTACCTATTTATCTTTTTTTTATCTTTTCTATCTAAGTATCTTATTCTCTATCTATCTATCTATCTATCTATCTATCTATCTATCTATCTATCGATCGATCTATCTATCTATCTATCTATATTCAAAATTATAATTTTTTGTTTTTTAGACTAGACTTTTTCCATAATAGTCTGAGTGGTTCTCATTAGTTGGCTTGAGAAGATGTCTTCCTCCTCGTGCCCTCACTGGAGAGACAAATTTCATTTCTATTTTATATCACGCATTAAATACTGCATAAAATAATATGTACAATAATAAAAAGGCCTGTGGCAGCTACTTTGGTTATTAATTTTTTCTAATTCCATCGAGGTTATAGCAACTGTTCGATGATGGAGGTCCAGTGCCTTGTCACAGAGTTTAGCAGATACAGAACACCCTGGATAGGTGCCCTATAAGCTAAAAACGTTATTTATTGTTTTTATTGGTCATTAGATATAATGCTGATCCATAGAATATACAGAGTGAGGCTGCAGAGATTTTGGATCAATTAAACATGACTACATTCCTTCACATGCCAGGTCAGTCACACTGAGAGTAGCAAGCTAGTTGCTTTGAAGCTTAAGTATACGGGATAGTTTTAGACACTCTCTACATGTATTGACAGCAAAATACTTATTATGGCACTTTTATATGCCACACAAGGAAAAGGCTGGAGGCATGAAAATTGTATGTTTTGCTATTGTGAGATTATGACTAATTCAAGACACCATGTGCAAAAATACCCCCACTTGCCAGCTTGAGGTAAAGTGCGTTATTCATAAGTTGTGAATAATTGAGGTTTAGGGAGCACAGTTGGAACTGAGGGGGGATATTTGCTGACTGTGTGCTTTGTCTGGGTTGGCACTTATAAGGAAATACAATGCTTGGGTCAGGCAATTAGTAGGCAGAACAAAGAAACAAAGCTAGGTACTCTGTGTGTTTTAATGATCAAGAATAAGCTACCAAACTATCTAATTTGGATATTATTAACAATGGATGTGTCACTGACTTGGTGTTACTACGGCAAGAGCCGCTTTGGCATGACAGTGTAACAACCTAACAATCATTAGGTTGCATTAGTTACAGTGTGGGAATGCCTGAAAACATGCGTGAATGATAATTTTGCCAGTATGTTGCATGGCATCACATCATGTCAACTAGTGGTCACATCATATCCAATCACATCAGGTCACATCACACCAAGTCACTTGAAATGTTATAAAACAAAGCAATAACATAGGAACACGAGACAGGGAAGTAAGCATGCATAATGTCATGAGTCATACTGTGGCGTTTTTATTCAGGACAATACCATTGGTGCATGATTTTTAAGTCATATGCTTTTTGTGTCAATAGCAGTATTAAGAAGCATCATTTCACCACAATGTTTATACCACAAACATGGCACCCAGTTGTGCAGGAGAGTGATGCAAAATAAAAACATTTACTCACCCAAGACAAAATACTCCCACTACTGACACTTACTGAGAGACAGTGTGGACCTTTTGCGGCTTTGTTGTTGGCATCTAAATGCACCTGCAAAGCTTTGTTCAAACATTGTAGTCTAACTATAATTGAGGTCACCGTTCTTTATTTTCATATTATATTGTATTTCTATTCCATTTACACAGTTATTTCATGTACACCTTCTTAGGTTTAATGCAAAGTGTTCCAGAGTGACTTAAACACCTCCTTGGCTTACGGCACATTGACTATAAATCCAACTTCAGCCTCCAGTATAGTACTAATGCAGTGCCATTGGATTGCTTAGTAATAATATTAAAATGTCATGTTTATTGTTTTAGCATATGGTAGGACAAACCAAACATACCTGAAAAGTCATTTGAAACTTTGTTCAATTCAGGGATGTCAGTTTGGATGACCATGTTGATAGAGCTTTCCACAGAGATGCCAGTTGTGCACAGCCTCTGGGGCTGCTGGGAAGAGATAGGCTACGTCCCAAGGTGTGTATGTGTGTGTTAGCGGTTGAGTCTATGTGTGAAAGCGTGTGTTCTCACCCTCTCTGGGCAGAGATAAGGGAGAGTCCTGGAGGTACCTGTAGCATGGAGGGATCTGGAGTAAAGTGATTAGTGCCACAGGCTCAAACCACACTCTCACTATCTAAACTCTGTCTGTCACCATGAAGGTGACATGAGAACATATACTCACTTTAATTAAAGCTTATGTGCATACCTGCAAGTGACTTGTTGGTGTTTGCCTATGCCAAACTTGCATGCATGTGCAAAGGCAGTCATGCACACAGAGTGAGACGCACGTACCTCCAGGAGTACAGTTTGGAGATTTCACACTTCTCTAGCTGTTAGCATGTAAACTGCATCCATCTCTATAATCTCATGTGACGCTCCTCCTCTAATGCCTTTATGTGAAGCACTTAGAATTTCCCTTGTGTGCCATTAACTTTCCTTGCCAGTTTTTGCCTCTCTCTCGGTACACACATAAACTTTCTCTCTGTTTTACATACACACACACACACACACACACACACACACACACACACATACGAACACACACTGAAATATGAACTGCGGCCCCCTGTGTTCTTATGAAACATTCAGTGTCCCAGTTGACTGGACATGTGTTCACCTTTGAATGTCTGTGTGTGCAGGGTGTGTTTCACATCAGTCATGTTAAGGCCACAGTGAGGCATCCTTCCAGAAGGGTCATGTTACTCTTACATCTGTCAATGCCATTGGAGAAAGTAACTGGCTGAGAGGGAAAAGAGTGGAACTGAAAGTGCAGAATTGAGAAAAAAGGGGGTCAAAGTGCCTCTCCACTTTGAGAGGAATAAAGACTGAAAGAAGAGAGGGGAGAATCAGGGAGGAGTACAAAAGAAAAGCAAGAGAGTCAAGAGGTGAGAACAAGAAACAATAAAGTCAAAGAAAACTCATAGAAAAAAACATTTCACATTTAAAATGTTCACATTTAACAGGCCTCGGCTGTCAAATCTAAATACAGTCACAACAAAAGCAGTTCACACAACAACTCTGCTTCCATTAAACCCCAACTGTGATGTTTTGCCCAGTGGACTGATGGATTGTTTGTTTAGCTGTGTGCTGTTAGCTTTGTGCTTTGGCAGCAAGCGTTTTTGTCTCAAATAAAAATCATACAAAACAAAACAATATTTCTAATTGCATCATTCTAATTGTTTCCTGTCAGATTTCGGCAGGCGTGAATATTATCTCTTCAAAAAGGGTGGTTTAAGCATGGACAGCAGTCATGAACAGGATTTTGTGAAAATGTGTGAGAATATGTTGTGTATTTTTACTTGTACTTGTCGTTATTGTACAAACTGTTGTTGAAAATACCTGATAGTGTTACTGTTACTATACATCAATTTATGAATTTTTGCTTCTAGACTGGCCTTTAAATGGAAAATCCCTGATGTCTTTATAGAGAGGAAATATTGTAAAAAGACATTCTTGACATGTTTGCGAACACATATTTATAGACAATTATGAACCGAGAACTTTCTCACTCCTGCTGTCCTCAGCCACACTTATCACGTGTGGAAAAATCCATCTACCTGACGTTGAGACAGCAGCTGAAGAATTTAATCCAATTTGACTTAATTTCAAGTCTATTTACAGTATCTCCCTTCCCCTCGTGCACAAACATGTACACACACGCACACAACCGTACACAAGAAAATCGTGCACATA